GTAAACTCTTTTCAAATGATAAAAATAAAGATTTTAAATTGTATTTTTCTGATTTTGTTTAATAAAGAAGTGGGGAAGGTTTGACCATGTGATACAACTACTGCATACAGTTAGATCCATAAGTTCTGGGACTAATTTTTGGTAACCTTGCCTCTGCACAGACACAGCGGACTTTAAAACACTCAGGACTGATTGACCTGCACACTTTCAGTGACGCCTACTGTGGCGCAGCAGTTGGGCCTCCTCCGCTGTCTCTGCGCTCTTGACACTTAAGCCCCTCCCTCTGCACTTGCGGTTCGGCCGCACTCGGTCGGTCGTCGCTTTCATCAGTTTTGTTGAAGTGAAGTGAAATGGTAGTTTTTACGTGCATTCAAAGTTCACCATGCCAATCTTCGTTTCCATTTATATTAGTGAGACATTTATTTCCTTCGCAATGTCCGTTTTATTTCTTTTTGGTTTATTTATTTCTGATGTTTGCGCTGTGGACAGTTTCAAAATGAAGCGATAAAAAGATAAATACAGATCACAAGGGATGAAATTTCTCCACACACACACACACACACACACACACACACTGAATCACACCCTGAATGAGACGAGCGGTGTAGCGCTATTTATTTACCTGACGGAGCGCACCACGCATGCGCATGTTTGATTTTTCTCCAGCGTTTTCAGAGTGAATTTAAGAACATAAAAAATCTGACATTTCTTACACGCAGCTTCCGGCTCTCTCCTCTTTAATGTGTTTTCTCTCCTTTTCCTTCTCTCCCGTGGAAAAAGCTTGGACAGCTTCATGTCTGCTGGGACGAGGTGCTGAGAGTGGGTCACTTCTGCTGTGTTTAAATTAGCAGTCATGTGACACTTCTTTGAAGAGCTGATGATCAAACTGAGGCAAAGCATTTAAAAACAGAATGACAACATCAAGTGCATCAACACTTTTCCAAAACTCAAATTAATCCAGATACAATTAAGAATCAGACAGAAATCCTCTTGTTAAATGGCCACAATCATATTATTAGTGGCTCAGCAGAAACATTTACACACAAACTGGAGATATGAACAATACGCAGAAGGAGAGGCAGACTTGCCAGATAATTTTTAATAATACAATAGGCTTCTATACACACCTGTGTTTTCACTCTCAGGTCTGAAGTTGTCTCAGAACTACCTTTTCCAATATTTTGGATATAAAAGGGAGTTTGGAGATCGGCCTGTAGTTAGTGAGCATTAGGGTCAATGTTTTTTTTCCATAATAGGTTGTACAGCAGCATGCTTGAAGACAGACTGTATACAACCTGATGACAACGATGCATTCAGTAAAAGTAGGACCTATAGTATGTGAAGCTCCGGGGGAACCAGAGATTTTAAGATGATCAATTATAGCAGCAAGAAGAATTGTTTTATTTAAAAACTCTGACACAAAATTTGTTTCACATTATTATTCACCAATTTATTTATTCAGTTCTACACATTATATATAATCCGCCTCTCTGAAAGTGCAGTGAGAGGATCTGTGAGGTTTGGTAGATCATATAGTTTAATACATAAGAACAGCATCTCTTTTCTGTACATCAAAAACAGCACCTGCTTTAAAGACCACATAATGTTGCAGTTATAAATATCCATACAGGCACAATAGTTATAAAAGACAGTTTTATGAACACAATGTCAACAGCACCTCATTCATCCTTATTTATATTAAAAAAATACTTTGTCTTAAAGTCCAAATACAAAAAGCAACAGTGCTAATAATAACATAAAATAAATAAATCTCATCAAGTTCATGTTCAGGTTACAACAGTAACCAAAGGTTTTCAGGAAGCTTTGGTTTGTTCTGATCACCATCAGCTAAAAGTAACATTAACCATTATTAAAACCAGCATCACAACCTGCTTTACACAATAATAAAATACACAGTTTAAAAGAAGCAACATCTGGACTGCAGCTGGGCTCTGAAATGTGTCCTCATCACTTTTAACAGTACAAACATCATAACTGTCACAGCTTCTCAGATCTCTGAATAAAAACACAGTTTTCCTCATCCACTGTTAGGATCACACAGCAGGACTCTGCTCGGCCTGAACACCACCTCAGGTGTCCTCGTAACTCGCTGCACTTTCATTAAAGCCTTTTTCTGGTTTTGTCAGTGGATTTAACAGCTGACGTTTCACAGCCCACAGTGAGCTCACAAAACAACTGAGACTACAGATGAGTCGATTATGTTGACCTGAGATCCAAAC